TGTGTGTGTGACTTTGTCTTCGTACAGGATAAGAATCATTTCAGAAAAAGGTAGTGAGCAAGAGTTTGGGGGTTTGGGGTGTGGGTTGGGGGAGAGGGGGCAGAAGAATGAGGGTTTGGGGGGTTTTTTCCTTAAAAGTGGGTTGTTTAGAGAGTTTTCTTTTAGTATTAGTAAGAATTTTACGGCACTTGCAACACAAATTGGTTATATAAGTGCGAAAGATTAGAGGTGTTACTATAAAGTAACGTACAAAGAACAGAGGGAAAAAGAGATGAGGAGGTCAGATGTTTGCTAAAAAGAAGCACCGGATACGGGGAATGGGGAGAATGCAATGATACAGCAGTGACACATGGTGTGATGGGAGGGGAGACAAACAGTAGAACTCTATATGTGTCACGACGTGGTGGAATCAGGCTTTGGTCAATTTTTTGGCATATATGGAGTTATTGGTGTCATCTTAAATCTTTTTCATTTGTCTTGCTTTTGATGAAAGTAATACAGTCGAACCTGCTCTAACGGAAACCTGTGTAAAACGGAAACCTGTCTTAACGGAATCTCCCAGCTTACCCCTTGATATAATATTCCTCTGTAATTACCTCTTAAATGTATTTACAAATTGGTGTGATAACCATTTCCTTTTGCTAAATGTAAAAAAGACAAAGGGATTAATAATAGACTTTGGAGTAAAACAGACCAATTGCAACAACTATTTAGTAAAGATGAGGAGGTTGAGGTGGTAAGCCTTACAAGTAGCTTGGTGTAACAATCGATAACAAACTTGACTGGCATCCCCACGCTGCTCTTGTGCTTAAAAAGGTAAATCAAAGAATGTTTCTTTTAAAGAAATTAAGAAGTTTCAATGTTGATAATAAGATTGTCTCTTTTATACCATTCTATGATTGAAAGAGTGATATTATTTTGTATTTGCTGCTGGGGTGGGAATTGTAAGGTGAAAGATACAGAAAAATTTGACAGAACCATTAAGAAAACCAGCAAGATCACTTGATATGATTTCACTAGAATTGATTAAATGTTCAACACCACACGTATAAAAAAGATAAAAAGCATTATAAACAATCTATCACACCCCCTTTCAGCGCCAATTTTAAGATCACGCAGTGGCAGATATGTACCTCCAAAAACAAAGAAAGAAAGATATAAAATACCAAAAATTCGATAAAATTTGCCAAACATGCGGAAAAATGCCTATTTTTTCGATTTCATTATTATGACGAGCGCCTGATTTCACCACACTGCCTCACATACTATTTCCCATTGATCTAGTTCCCCCCATTGTTTTATTTTCTGAATTTTGTCACCAGCATCATTTCTTCAAACTCTGTTGTTTCTTTACAGAAACTGCATTGGTCAGCATTTTGCCATGAACGAGATGAAAGTTGTGATTGCCAAGACTATCAAGAAGTAAGCGTTGTTGGGTTTTTTCAAATGGTTTTTTTCAATTCAGCTTTTACAGTAAAATAGCCTGTTTGTGTAGATCTTCATAGACTGTTCTGATACGTTCTCAATGGTACTGATTGGCAATACTGATATGCAATGATTTACAGTGTTTGCAGCGCAGTAGTATTATTCAAGAGCTGGGACTTCTAATCCTACCACCCATTATCAACAAGACGAAATCAACTTATGTGTTGAGAAAAAAATTCTTCAAACCAACCCAACTTCAAAAATGTCCTTGTACTTGTAGGGATTTGAACCAGCATTCAGCATGATGGCAGTAACGCTATTAACACACCGAATCGTCTTGA